ATAATTAGTATGTTGAGCATCTTTTCACGTAGCTGTTGGCCATCCGTATGTCGTCTTTGGAAAAACGTCTATTCAAGTCCTTTGCCCATTTTTTAATTGGATTGTTTGGTTTTTTTCGTGTGTGTGTGTGGAAGATCAGCCCTGAGCTAACATCCATGCTAATCCTCCTCTTTTTGCTGAGGAAGACCGGCTCTGAGCTAACATCTGTGCCCATCTTCCTCCACTTTATATGGGACACCCGCCACAGCATGGCTTGACAAGTGCTGCCTAGGTGCGCACCCAGGATCCGAACCTGGGCCGCCAGCAGAGGAGCGCGCACACTTAACTGCTACGCCACGGGGTGGCCCCGAGGGTATGATATTAAGTGAAATAAGCCAGACAGAGAAAGACAAACACCATATGATTTCACTCGTATGTGGAAGAAAAACAAACACATGGATAAAGACAATAGATTAGTGGTTACCAGAGGGGAAGTGGGTAGGGGGGTGGACGAAAGGAGTAAAGGGGCACACATGTATGGTGATGGATAAAAACTAGACTATTGGTGGTGAGCACGATGCAGTCTATATAGAAACTGATATATAATAATGTACACCTGAAATTCCACAATATTATAAACCATTATGACCTCAATAAAATAATTGGAAAAAAAAGATACTACAGTGAGTTTGCCTATCCTGGGCTTGCTTGCACTTAGAATACTTCCCTGTTCTCTTCTCCTTCTTAGCTCTGTATCATTGGAAAGGAAGAGGGTCACAGGGAGCAGATAGGGGAGCGACGAGGGAAGCTGACCCCTGCAGGTTGTATTTCTCAGGTTCCCGTATCCTGGTTGCTACCACGAGGAGGCGCTGGTGGAAGAAGATTGGCAGGTAGAGGGAGAAGCGGGAGTATTTCTTTGCCTCTCTCTAACTCAGGGGCATCTCCAGCAGCAACTGTATTTTCTGTGTGGCCCCAGTTCCTGTTGGACAGGCCCACCATGGTTCCAGTGTCTCCTGTTTGTCCCTGGTCTAGGGCTCATAGTGGCTGCCTGCTATTGCTAATCTCTCAGTCACCCATTACACTCTGTTGGCTCCTTGCTTTTCCAACGCCTGTGTAATTTGTTCCCCGAATTAAAGTCCCTTGGTTTAAAAAAAAAAATTAGACTATTGGGGGTGAGCACGATGCAGTCTATACAGAAACTGATATATAATAATGTACACCTGAAATTACACACTACTATAAACCAATATGACCTCAATAAAATAATTGAAAAATAAATAAATTGAAAGAAGGAAATCTTGCCATTTGCAACAACATGGAATAACCTGGAGGGCATTAAGCTAAGTGAAAAAAGCCAGACAGAGAAAGACAAATACTGCATGGCATCACTAATATGTTCTTTAAAAAAAAAAAAAAGGTTGACCTCATAGAAGCAGAGTAGAATGGTGGTTGCCAGGGGCTGAGGGGTGGGGGCAATAGGGAGAGGCTGATAAAAGGGTACAAAATTACAGTTATAAGATGAATAAGGCCTGAGAATAATAATACTGTATCATATAACTGAAATTTGCTAAGATGGTAGAACTTGTGTTCTCACAAAAAAAGAAAATGAAAAAAGTAAATATGTGAGGTGATGCATGTGCTAATTAATTCCATGGGGGGAATGAAAGAAAAAAAGATGGCTCACTCATGTGACTAGCAAAGTACACTGGTGGTGGTTAGAAGGCTTCATTCCTCCCCAGGTCGACCTCTCCACAGGGACATTGAGTGTCCTCACAACATGGCGGCTGGCTTCCCCCAGAGTGAGTGATTGGACAGAGAGCCCAGTGGACGCTGCAACATTTTATATGGCCTAGCCACACAGCAGCACACCATCATCTCAGTCATACCCCATCCACAAGCCTTATTCAGTGTGGGAGAGGACTACACACAAGAGCCTGAATAACCCAAGGTGGGAATCATTGGAGGCCATCTTGGAGGCCGGCTTCTAGTTTCCAGTGTTATTTTCAGAGCTCCAAGATAATTCTTCTCTTGATCCTTCGTATGTGATTTGCTCTGTTTTCTCTCTCCTTCTCGATCTTTCTCTCTCAAAGTTTGTAGAGTGTATTTTTTCTCTCTAATGTTTTGAAATATCATGTGTAAAGTTCTGTTTTCATCTATTGTTCTGGGCGCTTGGAGGACACTTTCAATCAGTAAGCTCATGTTCTCTTCAGTTCTGGAAAATTTCCTTGCATTTTTTAATTTATAAGTTCCTCTCCTCTGTTTATGTCTATTTTTTTTTTTTTTTGAGGAAGATTGGCCCTGGGCTAACGTCTGTTGCCAATCTTCCTCTTTTCTCTTTTTTCTCCTCAAAGCCCCAGTACATAGTTGCGTATCATAGTTGTAGAGTTGTAGCTCTTCTATATGGGATGCTGCCTCAGCATGGCTTGATGAGCGGTGAGTAGGTCCACTAGATGAGTGGTGAGTAGGTCCAGGCCCAGGATCCGAACTGGTGAACCCCAGGCTGCCGAGGTGGAAAGTGTGAACTTAACCACTATGCCACCAGGCAGGCCCCTCATTTCTACACTTTTTATTTACCAAAACTATTTTTTGTTCTCTGAATGCCCTTTTAAAATACTATCCTGGGGGCCGGCCCCGTGGCTTAGCGGTTAAGTGCATGCACTCCGCTACTGGCAGCCCGGGTTTGGATCCCGGGCGCGCACCGACGCACCGCTTGTCCAGTCATGCTGAGGCCACGTCCCACATACAGCAACTAGAAGAATGTGCAACTATGACGTACAACTATCTACTGGGGCTTCGGGGAGAAAAAGAGGAAAAATAAAAGAGTAGGATTGGCATGGATGTTAGCTCAGGGCTGATCTTCCTCCCCCCCAAAAAAAAGGTTAATAAAAAAAATAATAATAAAATAGTATCCTGTTCTTGCTCCTGGTTCTTCTCTTTTCCCTCTAGAGATATTAAAGAGTGTTCTGGTCTGGTTTCAGGCATTGTCCCCTCCCTGCTTTGTTTCTGTATTCTTTGGTTGGTTAGTTGATGTTTTTGGTCTTTCTCTCCCACGTTTCAGGTTTTCCTTGAATATTCTGCTCATATGGAAGAGTGGGGACTAAAAAGCTAATTGGAAGCTCCAAGCATGTGACTGGGGCCTGTCACTGACCTCCTGTGGGGCACGTGGCTGAGCCATTTGCTCATAGAACCTTCAAAGTGGTACCTTGAGGTCCTTCCTCTTGGGCTGGTCACACTTCCTGGATTCTAGGTGCTGAGTCAGGAAGGCTCTCAACATCCATCCGTCTGCTTTGTGCCTATTTTCTGTCTGCTCCTCCCATGCTCAGCTGGGCCCAGGACCCTCCATGGACTCCCTCCAAAAATAAGTCTCCAAGTTTCCGCTGGGGTGGGAGGATGGGAAACAGGGATTGGCTAGCTTCTTAACGCTTCCAGAAGGACTTGGTGCCACCAACTCCCGAGCTGATTCCTGATTCCACTGCCAGCTTAGAGTTGCTTCCTGAAGAGGTATTTCTACCTGTCCATGTGTTTTTCCAGCTTCCAAAATGTTGACACTGCCTCCTCTCCCGTATTCCCCATCCCCCTGGACTCGTATGTTCAAAACTTCCCTTTTCTGTCTTACAGTCGGGTTTCAGGAGGGAGCAGGAGCAGACGCACATGTGCACTCCTCCATCTCTAGGAACGATCGGTCGTTGTCGAGGTCATTGTCAGGGAGACTCTGGCCAACCGGGAGGTCAGGTGCTGAGGAGGAAACAGAGGTCAAGGGTGAGGGACAGAGCCAGGATTTGTTCCCAGGGCTGGCTGTCATCCAGGTCCAGCTCCTGGTTCCTGGAGTGTCCTGTCCTCCCTGCCAGGAAGTCTGGGCAGGCAGGAGCCATGGGGTCGATTCCCAGAATCCCAGGATCCGGAAGGCCAGGGGCAGGGCCAGGAGCTGGACAAACAGCTCAAAGGTGAGCCAGTGTGGGGATCTGGACCAGGCCTGGTCAGCCGGACGGCGCACCATGAGGTGGGTGGGAGCCCCTGCAGCCTCCCAGCAGGGGCGACGGGGGAGAACGGGCCTCCCTCCGGGCCCTCACTGCCCCCTGCACTGCCCCCAGGCTGCTGATCTTCCTGGGCCTGCTGTGGGGTTCGGCAGCCGCAGCCCTGGGCCCGCAGTGGCCCAAGCCCGTGTTCGGGCGCCTGGCGTCTCCCGGCTTCCCCGGGAAGTACGCCAACAACCAGGAGAAGCGCTGGACCCTGACTGCGCCCCCCGGCTACCGCCTGCGCCTCTACTTCACCCACTTCCATCTGGAGCTCTCCTACCTCTGCGAGTACGACTTTGTGAAGGTGCCAGCAGGGCAGGGTGGGTGGACCCTCTCGAGGGCTGGGAGGGGGGTTCCCCAAGGACCGACCCAGGCTGGGAGACAGGGACACCTGGGAGCAGGGTCTTGCCTCAGACAGACGGAGGGCAGTGCTGTCCCTCCCTGTGACCCTCGACCCCACAGCTGAGCTCGGGAAGCAAGGTGCTGGCCACGCTGTGCGGCTGGGAGAGCACGGACACGGAGCGGGCGCCGGGCAACGACACGTTCTACTCGCCGGGCTCCAGCCTGGACGTCACCTTCCGCTCCGACTACTCCAACGAGAAGCCGTTCACGGGCTTTGAGGCCTTCTACGCGGCAGAGGGTGAGCCGAGAGGCGGCCGGGGGGCCCAATGGCCCATCTGCAGCGGGGGAGCACCCCTGTGCTAGGGCAGGCCCCCCCCTTCAGTCTCCCCACCTCCCTGAAGCTGGGTTCCTGCCAAACCAGCAGGAGAGAAGTCCACACCTTGGTAAAACATCATCCACAATGCAAATATTGAAAACAGCCATGACCTCCACCCAGGAGCTGAGCCCCGATTCTGTGCCAGGTGCCCAGCCAGGGACATCCTCACAGCCCCCGTAATGCAAGGGCCGAGGGAGCCCATTTAGAGATGAGAAAGTGAAGCTCTGCCAGCCTGAGCCCTGCTGAGAACGCACAGAGCACGGTGAGCTGTATCCGCACGTGGGCTTCAAGTCTGACACTTGATTTCAGATTCTGGCTCCTGCAAGGACCAGCTGTGTGACCTTGAGCAAGTGGCTCAACCTCTCTGTGCTCCTCAGGAGGCTGCGCGAGTTCAGTGGGACCTGTGCAGCAGCCCCGCCTGCTGGGTCCTGTTGCTGGCTGCTCCCTTCACCGGCTGTCATTGCTGTAAAGAGCCGGTATTTACCTCTCCCTCCAAGTGTTGCGGGGAGGCTGACCCCAGGCTCTAGTGCCTGGTTGGGCACCAGCCACCTTCGGACATGGGGAGGCTCCTCTCAGGTCAGCCATGAGGCTGGAGGGCTGAAGCTGAGCCCAGGCTCCAGGGCAGTCCCATCTCTTCCCCTGCTGACTGCCCGCCTGGCCTGCTCCTCCCCCAGACATCGACGAGTGCCAGGTGCCCCCAGGAGAGGCCCCCGCCTGCGACCACCACTGCCACAACCACCTGGGTGGCTTCTACTGCTCCTGCCGTGCGGGCTACGTGCTCCACCAGAACAAGCGCACCTGCTCAGGTGAGCCGCCCAGGCGGAAGGAGGGGAGGACCACACCCTGCGCCCGGCCCAGCCCCCACCCCGCCCCAGGACACAGTCGGCTCCTCCAGGCCGCAGCTGGTCTGGAGGGACCGCTGGCCTTGTCCCACTGGGCACTTCTCCTGGGCCCCGGGCGGTGGCTGGCCCCTTCTCTGATCTTCTGTGCCCTCCCACCATTCATCCCTTCACATTCTCTTACTCCTCCCCCTCCTGTCCCATCCCGGGCTCACTCCCTTTCCTCTTCAGCTAATTCACTTGATTAGCATGTGTTAGGCCCCCACTGTGTACCTGGCCCGTCTGGGCTCTGGGACCTCCCCCATACAGCCACCTCACCTTCCTTGGGTGGCTCTGCGGGGAGGAGTGGGGTGCCTAGGCCTGCTCAGGGCCACGGGTTCCTGGCCCCCAGCAGGCCGACCCCTTAAGCCTCCACTGCCAGGTGCCTGGATGGGAAATCAGCTAGTGCCCTGGGGAGTGGGAAGCCCCAACCCACGGCGCTGACCCTGCCTCCCCTGCCCGGTGTCTCCCCTGCGTCTCTCCCTGTCTCTCTGTTCTCTCTTCCAGAACAGAGACTCTAGCCTCCCCTCTGGCTCCGGCCTGCCAAGCGGGTCAGAGCCAGAGCAAGCCCCACCGGCTGTGCTCTGGGTCGGGCCAAGATTGCTGCTGCCTGCAGCCCCCATTCACCCCACCACAGACCCAACAATAAACCTGGCTCCACCTGCACCTGCTGCTGCTGCGTGTCTCTGGTGTGGCGGGGGGGGGGAGGGTGGCGGTGTGCACCCCCGCCGCTCCCCACCCTTCTCATAGTCAGATGAGCCCTAGTGGGGGGAGCCCCCTCCAGGGGCCACAGGCTCCTTTGCCAGAAGGGCTTGCTCTGGCCCTCCTATTTGGAAGAGGCCCAGATAGGGCAGGGCTGGCCTGAGTTCACACAGGGGAACTGAGCTCTCTCTACTTCCCCACCAGGTCCCCGGGGCTGAGCTCAGAGCGTTCTCAGACCACCTCCTGTTCAGAGGGCAACTCAGGCCCCGCATGTGCCCCGCATGTGGGAGTAGAGAGGCCCAGGGAGGTAGTCATCAACGGACAGTCTGGTCCCCCACGTCCAGGGGCTGTTCCTTCTGCCCCGTGGGGAGCAGCCACACGGAGGAAGGGAGGCACTGCTGGGACTCCTCACTTCCTAGAAGCCTCCCAGCTCAAATGCCTGCATCCCCCTCCGTGGCCTGGGGGAGATGGGGGCAGACCCCTCCCACAAATGACGTTCCCTCTGCAAGGGCAGAATTACCTGTTCCAGTGGGGAAAGAGGGCACCAGACTGGTTTATGCTCAGTGTGGACTTGAACTTCCCTCAACTGCCCCCCAGGGCAGAGCCCAGGCTCAGGGAAGGTGGGCAAGGGGAGGCCCCTCCTGACCTCCTGACTGTTCCAGGCGGGGACCCAGGGGAGGCTGGACCTGCCTGGGCTGAATGCGGCTGGGAGTCCCCTGGTGGATGAACTTAGGAGTTGCTGGGGTCAGGGGTGGGTGAGGGGGCCTCAGCCCAAGGAGACTCACCTGCCCTCAACCCCCCCAATTCCTAGGGAACAAGGAGAGTCCCCCTCCCTTCTTTTGGTGCCTCCTGCCCCTGGGCAGAGCCTGACCTCGCCCACTGCCCTCACCCCGGGGGTTGTGACTTTGGCCCAGGACTCCCCACACCAAGAGCCTCAGCTTAGGGTCCCACCCTCTCTGGGGGTGAGAGTGGCCACTGGAGAACACACATCTGAGTACTGCCTGTTTCAGCTAAAGCCAGAGAATCCCCCTCCCTAATTGTCCCTTCAGCTCCTGGGGAGTTTGGTCTCCAGAGGCACCCCTGGGGCTGTCCGTGTGCAGGGCGGACACGTGGGGCTGGCTCATGCTGCCGGCGCCTGGCTCACACCGCCCCGTCCTCTCCCCTCTTCCTAGCCCTGTGCTCAGGCCAGGTCTTCACCGACCGGTCTGGGGCAATCAGCAGCCCTGAGTACCCACAGCCATACCCCAAACTCTCCAGTTGCACCTACAGCATCTGCCTGGAGGAGGGGTTCAGTGTCATCTTGGACTTCGTGGAGTCCTTCGACGTGGAGATGCACCCCGAAACGCAGTGCCCCTACGACTCCCTCAAGGTCTGGTTCCCAGGACCCCCACCTCATCCCGGCTCCTGCAGGGCCTGAGGTGACAGGGGCCTCTCTGCTTTCAGATTCACACAGACAAAGAAGAGTATGGCCCATTTTGTGGAAAGATGTTGCCTCACAGGATTGAAACCAAGAGCAACACCGTGACCATCACCTTTGTCACTGATCAGTCAGGGGACCACACAGGCTGGAAGATCCGCTACACCAGCACAGGTGAGGGCAGGTGGGTCTCGCACTCCGGCAGGAAGCTCCTCCAGGAGCGTCAAGGAGCTACCTAGGATGGAACTTTTCCTTGCCAGGCCTGGGAAGTGTAGAGGAGGAAAAAGTTTTCCTTGACCCTCTTAAAGTCCCTGACTGGGTCTGAAAAGTAAACTGACAGAGACAGATTAACAGAAGAAAAGCATACATGTTTATTTCACATAAGTTTTACATGGCACAGGAAATGAACACCCAAAGACAGAGCTCGAGCCGTGTACCTTTGTGGTAGGTTTGATGAAGAGTGGATGGGCGTGGAGGAATATGAGGAATATGGTTAGGGGTATGAGGTCAGCGCAGTAAACTGAGGGAACCTTAGCAAGGCCTGCTTGTTCAGATTCTTCTGGGAGTCACCTTGTCTATGGAAATAATGCTTTTCTCTGGGTACAGGGAGGGCAACTCCCATGTGAGGGTCTTATGACCTGCTTCGGGGAAGAAGGTGTGTCAGAGTGATCTTCTGCCATTTTCTCAAATTCCCCAGCTTAAAATATTCAACATGCCAAGGCGCCATATTCTGGGGTACTGTGTCCTGAACTCCATCAGACGACAGACCAGGTTTGAGTGGGAGGCAATGGTCCCCTAAGGGTAAATACCACCCAACCACTCATCTACCCACGCATCCATCCATCCCTCCTTCCAGCCAGCCACCCACCATCCAACCACCCCTCCTTCCAGCCATCCATCCACCCACCATCCATCCCTCCTTCCAGCCAGCCATCCACACACCCCTTCATCCTTCCTTTCTCCTTCCCTCATTCCCTTGTTCCAGCCACCCTGCCCTCCTTCCTCTGTAGGAGGAAAAAAAAAAAATTTTCCCTTTACCCTTGACTGGGAACAAAAGACAGATTATCAAGAGAACAACAAACAGAAGTTTATTAACATGTATATCTCAAGTATACACCGGAGATAACCCAGGGAAAATGAGGAAGTCTCAGAGGTGGCTTAGAATTCAGGCTTAAATACCATCTTCAGCTAAACACAAAAGAGAGAAGGGAGTGTGGGAGGCCAGTTAGGGGGAGGGGGCCAGGAAAGGTATGGTAAACAAGAGTCAGGTTTGTTATGCAGATTGAAGACCCTGCCTTCTCCATTGATAGGAGTTTCCAGAGCTTTAGTCCTCCTTCTCCTGGTACAGAGAGGGAGACACTCTTACAAATGGAGATTTCCTTTGTAAAGTTCCCAAAGAAAAGAATAACTTCTACTCTGTTTTCAGAGCTTCTCCTGTGTCTGCTCTTGCTCAAAATAATCCTATGCCAAAGAGGCATATTTTGGAGTGCCATATTCTGTCACCCTTCACATACATGCACCCCTCCAACCTCCTCTCCCTCCCATCTTTCCTCTTGGCCTACCTCTCTCCTTCCCTCCACCCACCCTTCTCTCCATCTTTCTCTTCGTCCATTCATCCATCCTATGGATGTGCACCTGGCCTTGTGTGGGGGATTTGTAATGCAGAAGCCACAGTACTCACCCCACAGCCTCTGCCCTCAGCCCCATCTGGTCACGGCAACATAACCTCAGCCCTGTGACGAGCACAGCCAAGCACCGGGCATGGGGAGAGTCCAGAGGAGAGACCTGGCCCAGGCAGGAGCTGGGTGCTTGGGAAGGAATCCTGAGACTGGAAAGACCTGAGACTGGATTTAAAGGATAAGTAAGTGGTGGAGGAGGGCGGAAGGGTGTTCCAGGCAGAAGGGAAGAGTGTGTGCAAAAGCCCCGAAGCTCCACCGCTGATGGTGTGGAGCTGTCGAGGGTGAGCTGGGGTGGGCTGAGATGGGGTCTCTGCATCACAGAGGGTTTGGACTAGAGCCACAGTTGAGGGAGTCTGCAGCTGGGGCCTATCAACTCTGCCTCTCTGAACCACCTCCACTGCCCTGGCTCGACCCCGGGGGGCTGCGCAGGCCTTCCACCACCTCTTCCTCATGACAGACCCTCAAATACTAGAAGGTAGTTCTCAACCTAAAGCAGCCCATTGGTGCTACCCTCTTAGACACAAGCTATAGTCTCCCCACCGTCCAGAGCACTGACCTCTGGACACATCTGTCCCTCTCACCACTCTCAGCCAACAGGTCTTTCAGGATGTTGCTGACGCAAAATAACCAATAACCATTCTACAGATCCGATGAGAGAGAGAAGGGGAGTTTTACTTGAGCCAGGGTGAGGATTATAATCCGGGAAGGCAGTTTCCACGACAGAAGAAAGCGGTCCAGAGAAGCATGGTTTTCAGTACAGTCTTATACCTTTTTAGAACAAAGAACATACATTAAATACACCCAGGATACATATTCACCAAAGTTTCAAAGAGGTATTCAGTTGTAAACTAGCAGGTCAACGTCAACTTGACCCGGATGTCGGGAAAGGGGCTAATCGTGG